GTCATCAAGGAGCTCACTGTCTAAAAGAATGGCTGACATCTAAATACGATATGGCCAATGTCCCAAAAGAAACCACCTGTGTTCCCCAAGAGTCTATAAATAGTGAGGATGAATGATCTGGTTTTAGCACCAAAAGTCTGGTGCTTCAAAAAATCCCTTAGGGCAAACCAGGGCGGTGGTCACTTTAGGTGGGAAGGCCAATGACCTGTATTTTTGGAGGTAAGAGGACATCAAGGTCCCTGGACTCAGGCTTGAAGCACCATTCGTTTCCCTTTAGGGTGTGAAGGGAATGGTGGCCCTCATACACTCGTTGATCTAGCCTGAGGGACTGCACCCATGTTTCTTCAGAAGGCGGGAGGCTGGCAACTGAGTCATGGGCCTGGGCCTGCTATATGAGGAGTAAGTGACAGGAGTGGGGGTGGGAGGCAAAGAGCCTGGGAGAGCAGCCATGGTGGCCTTCCCTGAGGCCAAGCTTGGAATCTGAGGAGAGGCAGGCAGCAGCCAAGCCAGGTAGAACCCAGGCCACCAGGTGATGGAGCTCAGAGTGGCGGTGTCCTCCGAGTCAGGAACAATGGACAGATCCACCTGCAATTGGACCTTCAGAGTTTCTGAGCCTTGTGCCGTGTGGCCCACATGCTCCTTGCTCTGAGGGCAGAGCAGGGTGAGACTGTGCATAGTACACAGCAGTGAACATGGAAGAAACACGGTATCCTTTGCTTCTCTAGCCATCTCTTAGACAACTGTCTGTCTAGGTTAGGGAAATCAACTCTGGAGTTTAAATCTGAGATCTTTGAGTTTAGTTTATCCCATACCCCACACCTGAAAATACGTGCCAAATTTTGTGCATATGAACATCTTCCCAGGAAGATAGCATTATCAAGGTCTCAAAATTGTTCAAGATGGGAAACATTTAAAAACACTGAACTAAGTGGTTGCTAAGGCCCTTGTTTTCATATTCTATGATTCTTTCATACTATTCAACACACTTGACTTGAATTTTGTAATCAAAAGTTTGCTGTCACCAATCCGTTGCCACCAGGAGCTCCCAGTTTGGGGGGGGTGGTGAAGGGAGAAACTTCATTTGAGCCAAGCAGCTCCAGTGAAACAGCTCAAGTGGAAGTTTGTAACACAAACCAGAGAAACAGCTATTGGTAGAAACTGAGAGTATGCTCTACCAGGCAAAGGGAAGGCTGACTTATATAGACAAAAATTCCTGCCAATTTGAGGCAAATGACTCCAAATCTGCACAGTCTGATTGGTCCAAATTGCACTGTTCTGATTTGTTATTATCAAACAGTGATTGGTCATTAAAGACAGAGCTGTGCAGCTCCAATTAGATGAGGAGGTCTCAGTCCTGTTGGTCAAAATACAACACCAGGAGCTTCCTTATAAGAGTTCACTCACACGGCAGGAATGCAGAGCAGGAGGCTGACAGCTCATTCTGCCACTTTCCTCTGAAGTGCAGTGTGTGTGAGAGGCCTCTGTAAACAGTGGCCACTGAACTCTGGTTATGAAATTGGGCCCAACTAACCACCAGGAATCTTTCTTTCTTGGGTTGATAATTTATAAAAATGATCACAGTGGAAGTGTCAGGGTTCTAGAAGCCCCCAAATAATCACTTAAATGAAAATAGGCTAAACGTTAAAAACAAGGGAATACAAAACAGCTTTTTTCTGTTGTGAAAGGGGAACTGCGATGGTTAATTTTCTGTGTTAACCTGACTAGGCAAGTGGGAACACTGTGTGGGCGCTCAGTTATTCGGTGAAACATCACTCTAGTCACTGTGAGGTATGTTTAAAAAAAAAACTGTGATTAACATTAACATCAATAAACATTGAGTAAAGCAAATTATCCTTCATAATGTTGGCGGGCCTTGCCCAATCACTTGAAAGTCTCATGAGCAAAAATGGAGGTTTCCCAGATAAGTAAGAATACTTAAGACAGCAATATCAGAACCCTGCCTGAATTTCCAGCTTGCTGCCCTAAGAAATTCTGACTCAAGGCTGTCGTATCAGGTCTTACTTGAACTGGTAGCCTTCCAGCTTGTCCTGGGACTTGCCAGCCCTCACAAGCATGTGAGCTAATTACTTAAAATAAATCTGTCTCTTCCTTCCTATGCTATTGCTTCTGTTTCTTAGGAGGACTCTTACCAGTACATGATCCATCAGTCATTTATTTCAAATTACAATACTGGGGATTACATGTATATGACTTAACAAAATGGTCACCACTGGCGAAGACAATCCTAAAGCTGTTTGAAATATATGGGTACTGTGGGACGGGTACAAGATATAAAGAGGAGAAAAAGTACTTTTTCAGGTGTATGTTCCAATGTTACAGAACAAGAGGTCCGACGGAGGGGCAATACAATATTTGGCCCACCTAGGGACAAAAACTGCTATACAACAGGGGCCCCTCCCAAGGACAAAATACTGATATCTACTGGGCTCTTCTGTCCGCCGCCAATTGGAAAGACATCTCTCAATGCCAAAGATTTGTGAAAAGGAAACAAAATGTTTATTTAATGCTATTTAGGCTTAATGCCTCCACTAAAATATCAAAGTCCTTTAGGGTATACACCTACACCCACACAGCACTCCCTTCTCCCACTGTCCCAACTCCGGGTACTGTAAATCAGGAAAAGAGCACACATTTGTTTTTCAGGCTGCTGGAATCGTCAGCTGTGTCACTGTGCAGGATCTTGAGTTAATCCAAAGTACTGTGGTACCTTCTCATGGTCCACTGGCAAGAGTTCTTTGTACCCAGTTCCAGTCAAAGTCCCTCTTGCTTTCCAGGCCACTCAGCCAAAGGGGGCACCCCAAAGCCACGTGGGCCTCTTCTACCAAAGCTGCAGGGGTTCACACTCCACCAAAAGCATGTGGCTTTCTTCTTCACCTGGCTGCAGGGATCTCCATTCTGGCAAAGCTGCGTGGTTTTTCCCTTTCACCTGGGAAAGAGGGGGTCCTCACTCTGTTGAAACCGAGTGGCTCTCCCACATGACTGCAGGGGTCCTCACTCTGCCCCAAACTGCGTGGCTCTCTCTTCATCTGGCCAAGTGGGGACCCTTCATGTCCTGGAGCCAGTCTTTTCCAAGCTCCCACACAGGCACTGTCACTCAGGAGTGCAGCCCCTAGTTCCATCCTGAGTAGCAGCCACTCCCTTCTCCCTGGGTCAAAACTTGGCCACAACTATTTAACATATCTATGAAACCAGTTAAAGGTTATAGATATGTTAAATAATCATTCCAGAGGTTAGCTGCAAAACTGTTGCTATGCAAAATAGCTCTCAATGGCCCTGTTCTATTGGTTTCTTGGGGGGTGGGGTGGGCGGGAGGATGAGGACATCTTATATGTCTCTCCGATATTCCTATACACATTGAATTCTTGACACCATTCCAAATCTTTTTTTTGGGGGGCCCCCCTGGCTGCACCCTGTAACACCAAGATTTAAGTAATATGTCCAAATAACTCCATTTGGTAAAACTGGCTGAAAGCAAGTTGGTTAACATGACGATCTGGTCAAAAATGAATATCCATGTGCTCTCCACCTGGGGAGCATGCGTGTGCCTTTCCCTTCCCTCTTTTCTCCCCCACAGGCACACATCTCCTAAACTCTAGGAGTCTCCAGCCATGAGACTTGCCACCAGGGGAGCAATGGGCAGTGGCAACTCCTCAGGGGCTAACCCCCTGCACCTGTATCCAAGGGCCCCCTTCCTCCAGCTCCCCATTGAGCCAAGCAGTCCAGCCTAGTCTTCCTGTTATTGCTTCTTCTGTCCTGAGTCCTTCCTTGTTTACTCTTCCCAACTTTAATAAACATCCTGTCAAAAAAAAAAAAAAGAATATCCTTTACTATTTAATTAATACACCACTCTGCACTGTTAAATATTTTTACAAAAACAAAAAAACAAAAAACACATACCCATAGCAGTTCTGTGATTTTCAAAAAGAAGGATATTAGTCTATGTCAGGCACTGGTGTTCTGCAGTGCTGGTGGTGGAAAGGTGGCTAAGCAAGCATTAACACTTCCCCACTACCTACAAATCAGGACCTTTCCCTGGGAGCTGGGTCACCCCATGGGAAGGCCCTTGGGCTCCAGGCTTCAGAACTGGAGCTGCAGGAATCTTGAAATGTCCACAGGCCTTCTTCCTGACCACATTTACTTGCCTGTAAGCCCATGCCCTTTGGCAAGCAGTGAAGGGTAAACAGTTTTGGTATCAGCAGGGAGGGGAAGGAGGAGGGTGGGGAGAAAAGGTACAGGGAATAAGAAGCATAAATAGTTGGTACAAAATAGACAGGGGGAGGTTAAGAATAGTGTAGGAAGTACAGAAGACAAAGAACTTATATGTATGACTCATGGACATGAACTAAGGGGGGGGTGTGGGTGGGAAGGGGATGCAGGGCAGAGGTGAATAAAGGGGAAACATGGGACAACTGTAATAGCCTAATCAATAATATATATGTTATTTTTAAAAGCAGCTTTCAGATGATCGAAAAAGCAGCCATTGGGTTAGAGCTTGCTGGTGGAAGCTGCTTTAGTAGGGGGTCTCTTCTTCCCATCAGAGGGCTGGGAAGACCTTCCTCGTGTGTTATTTAATTTAGCAAGTATTGATTGTTGTGTAGTATATGTGTAAATTTTACCGGGTTTTCTGGGGAGAGAAGTCTTGGGGGTCAGTTTTGAACTTCTCTTCAAATCACTTTGTCTTGCCATTCATAAACGCAACTAGAGTTAAGGGACTCGTGGGCACTGCCTCAGGGCATTTACGAGGAAGACAATTAAAATTATGGGCCAGGCCTTTGGAAAACCGGTTGTGTGCCTGTGCGTGGACGCCCTCGCTCCACCACACTCCAGCTCGCCTATAGGGGTTCCCAGCTCCGCGCCGCCTCTCCGGAGCCCGCATCTGGAACAGCGCCCAGCGGCCAGTGACGTCACGGCGTCGGGGCGGGGCCAGCGACGAACTGGGTGGGACCGCCTCCGGGAGCTCCGGGAGGGGGCGGGCCGGGCGGTGGCCTAGCCCTGCGCTCGCAACCTGGAGGTGCTGGCGTTTGTGCCGCGCCCCCGAGGTAGCCTGCTGTGGCGACAGGACAGGCTTACGGGATCGGAATGCCTGGGCTGTCCACCTTCTCCGAACGGTGGCGTCCGGAGCAGAGCTCGCCACACTCCGACGCAGGCTTCGTGCTGGGGCTGGACGTGGGCAGCTCGGTGATCCGCTGCCACGTCTATGACCGCGCGGGGAGGATCCGCGGCTCCAGCGCCCAGAAGGTGACCGGGGCGTTGAAGTAGGGCCGTCTTATCTGGCCGGCCTGGCTACCCGCAGCCCCTCGGTGCTGAGCGGCATGCGGGGAGCGCCGGGTATTTGCATTCCTGGCTGGGCTGAAACCGGCGTGACCGGGCTGGGGGCCTGGTACTGTCACTCCTGTCCCCTGGGCGTTTGTCTCCCCGGCCTTTCCTGGGTGGGACTGCAGTGATTCTGGGCTTGCAGGGCAGGGCGAGGCGGGCGTGCTGCCAGCCGAAGGGTGCTTTGTGACTTGTTGATTTTTCCTGCAACTTCTTTGATAGACCTCCAGCCTTGTCTTCATTTGCATTTTTAATTTTTCAGATCTTGATAGAATTTAACTTTATCGTGCGTTGTTCAGTTATCATTGTTAAGTACTTCTCAAAGTGCTAGTTCCTCACATGAGCTTCTGATTTCCATGGATATGGGAGTTATTGGACAACTTTTGAAGATTATATTGCCATTACTTTTCTCATTTCCATTTTCGAGAATGTGTAAAAAAAAAATCCTTTTCTTATTTCAGAAACCTACCAAGTCATTAGTTGTTATTATTAGTAAATCCTTAATTAAGCAACCAAAGACAGGTACTCTTCGGTTCCCAGTTTAACGAAGTGCAGATTTATACACAATTACCAACGTACTAAAAATGATGTTGATCGAATTTGGTATTTTTATTTACTCATCTTTCCAATACCAACATCGTTTTATGTTGGCAGTGTCAGAGCAGGAGCCGTTGGTTACCTAAACCATTCCGGGACCCGGAACTCCCCATTTGCTTGGTTCCCACCCTGCTAACCCTGTTAGAAGTGCTTTTCAACCACAGCAGTCACCCAGCAGCAGCAGGTCTAGCCAAATGACTACTTGAGCCTTTGTTCTGAGGGAACAGCGGATTGGCATTCTGGTTTGGCAACCAGGACTGAGAGCTGGGACTCCCGCAGCTCCTCGGTCCCTGCTCTGACTACACTACGTGTGCGGGAACCCTGCCAGCCCACCCACTACTCTGGCCCGGCACCAACCACAAGGGACAGGCGAAAGGCCAACACTGTCCTTCAGCACCTGTGTGCTCCGTGTCTTTGGAAAAGTCTTTAGATCGCAGCCCAAATGATACTTTTAACAGTTTCCCTTGTAATTCTAGACACAAAGTACATTTGTTGTAAGCAATGATTTCAAAAAAAGGAATTGAAGTATTTGGAACCAACGGGAGGCCTAAATTGTTAGAAGATACAGTTTCGCAGTTGCTGTATTATTTTGAGCAAATTAGTAGTTTTTTACACATGAGGTAAGAAACTCTAGGATGAATCAAGATTGGTGCGAGCAGCAGGAAAGCAGAACGGTTTGCTCAGATTCTAAATTGGGGTGGTGGCAAGGTATCTAGGAAGATTTGTGAGTAAATAAAACTACAGAAAGTCCCTCCTGCCTCAAAGGAGGAAGCACTATCTTAGATTCAGGAGTTTATAACAGTGCCTCTCAGACTGCAGTAGGATTTTACAGTCGTGCTTCCTAACATGTGGTTCCTGGGTTGCTGGGGTGGAGATAAGGAAATGAAGATTGAGAAAATTGTGTAGCAGTTCTGCATACTAATTGTATGATTATTGACCTCAATAAAACCTTTGGGATTTTATTTTATATGCATTTTCCCCTAGAAAGTTGTTTTGATTGTCTTTAAAAAATGAAAAAAATTTTCAATTATAGTTCAGATTCAATATTCTATTACTCTCAGGTGTACAGCTACTGTTTAGACATTTATATAATTTCTGAAGTGACCCCCTTGATAAGTCTAGAACTTACCTGTGATCGTACAGTTACTGCAATATTATTGACCAAATTCCCTGTGCTGTACGTTATAGCCCTATGACTATTTTTTAACTACCAATTTGTACTTCTTAATCCCTTCTCCACCTTTTTACCCAGTGTCCCAAGTCCCATCCCATCTGGCAACCATCATTTTGTTCTCCATGCCTATAAGTTTGTTTCTCTTTTCTTAGTTCACTTATTTTATTTTTTAATTTAAGACATTTTTGCTGTGTTTTTTTCAGTACCTCCCCTCCCCTTATATGACCCCCCCAAACCACACTGTTGTCCATGTCCATGAGCCCTTTTTCTTTGATCCCTCCATCTGTAACCTCCCTGCTGCTCCTTACTGTCATCCTGCTCTCTGTCTATGAGTCTGTTTTGCTTGTTAGTTCAGTTTGTTCATTAGGTTCCACATATGTGTGAAATCATATGGTATTTGGCTTTGTCTGACTTATTTGCATAAAACCATCTAGGTCCATCAGTGCTGCTACAAATGGTAAGAGTTTGTTCTTTTTTATAGCTGAGTAATATTCCACTGTGTATATATGTATATTGTGTGTATACACACACACATACACACCACAGCTTTTCATCCACTCGTCTATTGACGGGCACTTGGGTCTAATCCATGTCTTGGCAAGTCTAAGTAATGCGGCAATGAATATAGGAATTAATTTATATTTTCAAATTAGTGTTTAGGGTTGCTTTGCATAAATACCCAGAAGTGGTTTTTCTGGATCTTATGGTTGTTTTGTTTTTAATTTTCTGGCTATTACTCCATATTGTTTTCCATTGTGCCATACCAATTTGCAGTCTCCAAGTCCTTGCCAACACTGGTTGTTGGTTTATTGATGATGGCCATTCTGACAGGTGTGAGGTGATATCTCATTGCAGTTTTAATTTGCATTTCTCTGGTGGTAGTGACATGGAGCATCTTTTCACGTATCTGTATGTCGTCTTTGGAGAAGTGTCTGTTCGGGTTCTTTGCCAGTTTTTAAATCAAATTGTTTCTCTTTTTGGTGTTAAGTTATATAAGTTCCTTAAATATTTTGGATGTTAACTTCTAGCATTGGTGAATATCTTCTCCTCTTTAGTTGTTTCTGTTTTTGTTTTGTTGATAGTTTCCCTTTGCAAAGACTGTTTAGTTTGATGTAGTCCCAGTTGTTTGTTTTTGTTTTCTTTGCCTGACGAGACATGTTAAAAAAATATTACTAAGAACTGTGTCAAAGAGTTTATTGCTTATGGTTTCTTCTAGGAGTTTTATACTTTCCATTCTTACATTTAAATCTTCAGCCTGTTTTGACCTTATTCTTGTATCTGGTGTATGAAAGTGGTGTAGTTTCAGTTTTTTTTTTTTAAGATTTTATTTATTTATCTTTGGAGGGGAAGGGAAGGAGAGAGGGAGAGAAACATCAATGTATGGTTGCCTTTCTTGTGTCCTCTGCTGGGAACTGGCCTCCAGGGAACCGGCCTGCAACCCCAGTATGTGCCCTGACTGGGAATCGAACCGCGATTGTCTGGTTTGCAGGCCTGCGCTCAATCCACTGAGCTACACCAGCCAGGGCTAGTTTCAGTTTTTTGCATGCATCTGTCCCATTTTCCCAACAGCTGTTTGCAGAAACTGTTTTTATCTCATTGTATATTCTTTCTTTACATATTTAAAAAATTTATTTTATTGATTATGCCATTACAGTTGTCCCATTTCCCCCCGTTCATTCCCCTCCACCCTGCACACCCCTTCCACCCACCTTACTCCCTTTTAGTTCATGTCCATGTGTCATAAGTTCTTTAGCTTTTACATTTCCCACACTACTCTTGCCCTCCCCCTGTCTATTTTCTACCTACCATCTATGCTACTTATTCTCTGTACCTTTTCCCCCTTCTCCTCCTCCCACTGTCCTGTCGCTGAACTTCCATGTGATATCCATTTCTATGTTTCCACTCCTGATCTAGCTGTCCACTTAGTTTGCTTTTGTTTTAGGTGTGGTTGTTAATAACCGTGAGTTTGTTGTCCTTTCACTGTTCATATTTTTTATCTTCTTTTTCTTAGATAAGTCCCTTTAACATTTCATATAGTAAGGGCTTGGTGATGATGAACTCCTTGAACTTGACCTTATCTGGAAGCACTTTATCTGCCCTTCCATTCTAAATGAAAGCTTTGCTGGATAGATCAATCTTGGATGTAGGCCTTTGGATTTCATGACTTGGAATACTTCTCTCCAGCCCCTTCTTGCCTGTAAGTCTCTTTTGAGAAATCCGCTGACAGTCTGATGGGGACTCCTTCGTAGGTGACTGTCCCCTGATCTCTTGCTGCTTCTAGGATTCTCTCCTTCATTTTAATCTTGGCTAATGTAATATGATGGGCCTTGGTGTGTTCCTTCTTGGGTCCAACTTCTTTGGAACTCTCTGAGCTTCCTGGACTTCCTGGAAGTGTATTTCCTTTGCCAGATTGGTGAAGTTCTCCTTTATTGTTTGTTCAAATAAGTTTTCCACTTGTTGCTGTTCCTCTTCCCCTTCTGGTACCCCTATAATTCAGATGTTGGAATGTTTAAAGATGTCCTGGAGGTTTCTAAGCCTCTCCTCATATTTTTGAATTCTTGTTTCTTCATATTTTTCTGTTTGGTTGTTTCTTTCTTCCTTCTGGTCCATTCTATTGATTTGAACCCCAGCTTTCTTTCATTTGCTATTGGTTCCCTGTGCATTTTCCTTCATTTCACTTAGTGTAGCCTTCATTTTTTCATCTAATTGTGACCAGAATCAACCAGTTCTGTGAGCATCCTGATCACCAGTGCTTTGAACTATGCATCTGATAGGTTGGCTATCTCTTGGTCGCTTAGAAGTATTGGCTCTGGGGCTTTGATTTTTTCTTCTGATTGAGCCATTTTTGATCAGGTCCCGCTTGTTACATATGAGGTGGGGAGCCTTAGGTGTTCACCAGGGTGGGGCAACCCACATTGCTGGGTTGTGACGCTCTGTGTGGGGGTGGGGTCAGAGAGGAGCAATGGCGCTTGTTCCATGCTCTCTCTGATTTTGGTCCCCTCTGCCACTTCCCACAAGCAAATTGGGCCTTTCTGGTGCTGATTCCTGGGTGGGTGGGCTTGTGTACGTTCTAGGACCCTGTGGGTCTCTCTAACAAACTCTCCCGTGAGGCTGAGAGCCTGTCCTGGCACCTGTACCCCTGAAAGTTTTTTCA